TTCGAGCGGAGAGCAAATGCAGCGGGAATTCGGGGCGCGACGAAAGCCACCCCGGCGAGGAGGGCGGAGGGGCGGCCAGCAGGCGGGCGAGGCGGTGCAACAATGATTGGTTGATCGGGTCCAAACATTCTCGAGATTGTCTTCGCCAATTACAGGAGCTGCACCAGGGCTGACGGGGCGCGCGTCCGAGTGGACGGCGTCGGATCAAAGCCACCCACACGGCGCCCAGCTTTAGAGCCTCTTAAAAAATGGGGCTTTCCATTCTGGCTTGATGATAAGACCACATCGCAGCGCCGACGGAGGAATGGCACAGAGCCCTCTAACTGGGCAAGGCGACAAGCCCGCCATCTGTCGCCGCCGGGAGAGACTACCCAGTAAACAGAGAGGGGAGTGACGTCAGCTCCTCCTGGGGAACGTTCTCCCAATCTCCAGCAGGACAACACAGTCGCCGCACCAGCGCAGGCACATCCTAATCCCCCGGGCCCCGCGCCGCCGCCCCACAACGGGACCCTCTGTCGGCCCCCGCTCCGCCCGCAATGAAAGGAACATCTCTCCGCTGCGCCAACGAATCAAAGGATACAATTACATTCAGAAAAAGAGAAATCGGACGGGCAGGGCAGGGGGGAGGGGGGGGGGATGGCAGCACCTGTGCCGACGGGGAAAACAAGCAAGCAGATAATGGCGACCCCGAACGCGCAGCTCAAGCGAAGAACCGAGCCTTTCTTGTTGACGTCTGGCTCGACCCACGCGGCGGCCGGGACACGCACCCTCCGTGGCACTTTTTGCTTGCTGAGGAGGCCAAGAAGGTGGAGGAAAGGGGAGGGGCTGGAGGAAGGGGAGAAGAAGAGGAGAGGAGATGGAGAGGAGATATGGAGAGGAGATGGGAAGGGGAGAGGAACAAGAAGAGAGAAGGAAGAGGGAAAGGAGATGGGAGAAGCGAGGAGGAAGGGAGAAAAAGCGTGAAGAGGAAAAGGAGATGGGAGAAGAAAAGAGAAGGGAAGGAAGAAACGACGAGAGAGTGGAAAAAAGAAGAACAGGAAAAAAGGAAGAAGTAGAGGATGAAGAAAAAAGGCAGAGAGCATTATGGAGAAAGGGAGAAGACGAAGAAGAATATCAAGCGGAAAAGGAAAAATGGAGGAAGAGAGGGAAGAGGAGAAGGAAGGAGTGCACTCAACACTGACCTTAAGGGGGGGGGGGGGCATCCGTGTCTAGACGAGCGAGCGAGAGAGGGAAGGAGAGAGAGAGAGAGAGGAGAGAGAGAGAGAGAGAGAGAGAGAGAGAGAGAGAGAGAGAGAGAGAGAGAGAGAGAGAGAGAGAGAGAGAGAGAGGGAGAGGGAGAGGGAAGAGAGGAGAGGAGGGAGAGAGAGAGAGAGAAGAGAGAGAGAGAGAAGAGAGAGAGAGAGAGAGAGAGAGAAGAGAGAGAGGAGAGAGAGAGAGAGAGAGAGAGAGAGAGAGAGAGAGAGAGAGAGAGAGAGAGAGAGAGAGAGAGAGAGAGAGAGAGAGAAGAGAGAGAGAGGAGAGAGAGAGAGAGAGAGAGAGAGAGAGAGAGAGAGAGAGAGAGAGAGAGAGAGAGAGGGAAGAGAGAGAGAGAGAGAGAGAGAGAGAGAGAGAGAGGAGAGAGAGTGAGAGAGAGGAGAGAGAGAGAGAGAGAGAGAGAGAGAGAGAGAGAGAGAGAGAGAGAAGTATGCGAGTGGGATCAAAAGCAGGAAAATGACAATAAAAAGTCCACCCAGTTCTTCCCAACTAAGATTCTCTTCCTCTATCTCCTCTTTACTCCTCTCTCTCTTCTCTTCTCTTTCTCTCTTCCTCTCTCTCTCTCTCTCTCTCTCTCTCTCTCTCTCTCTCTCTCTCCTCTCTCTCTCTCTCTCTCTCCTCTCCTCTCTCCTCTCTCTCTCTCTCTCTCTCTCTCTCTCTTCTCTCTCCCGAAAGGCCCTGCCAACCCATGCCAATCCCTGCCAAGCAGACCATGACAGCCCCGAGGCCGATTCCCCCGCAAGCACTCGCAAGCACTCCCCCGGGGCCCCCGAGCACTCCCCAGGGGCCCCCGAGCGACCGTGGTCAGTCTGGCAAGCACTCTTCTCTCCGGCCGGATGCTGGGATTGACCTTTGGGTTCCGACTGCGCGTTTCACTCCGGTCTGCGCTCCGCCTGTGCTCCTGCGCGCGTTGCTTGCACTCTTCCTCGTCCTCCTGCGCGCGTTGCTTGCACTCTTGCTTGCACTCTTCCTCGTCCTCCTGCGCGCGTTGGATGCTTTGCCTGCATTCCTGCTTGTCCTCCTGCCTGCACTGCCTGCGCTGCTTGTTCTCCCTTGCACTCCTGTCTGCTGCTGCCTCTTGCTTGTTCTCCTGTCTGCTTTGACTGTGCTCCCTTTTTGTCCTCTTGCCTGCTTTACCTGCATTCCTGTCTGTCCCCTTGCCTGCACTATTGTTTGTTCTCCTGCCTGCACTCTTCCTTGTTCTCCTGCCTGCTTTGACTGTGTTCCCTTTTCGTCCTGCCTGCACTCCTGCTTGCACTCCTCCTTGTGCTCCGGTCTGCTTTGTCTACTTTGCAGGTACTCCCTTGTTTGTCCTCCTGCCTGCACTGCCTGCACTCTCTTCTTGCACTCCTCCTTGTCCTACTGTGCGCTACTGCTGTGTCTACTTTGCACCCTGTCTACATTACCTGCAATGCCTGCTCTCCCTTTCCTACTCCTGCTGCTCTCCTTCCCGGTAAATCCACCCCAAGATGGAGTAGGGAGTAGGGGGATAAGGAGGAAAGGAAAGGATGGGAGTTGGGTTAGGATAAGGGAGGAGGGTATGGCTACGTGTGGGGGGGGGGAGGGGGAGGAGGGTGCCCGCTCCTTAGATGCTAAGGTTCTTGGGCATCGTCTTAAAGAATCCATTTTCCGGGAGAAGAATTATCTCAGGGTCTTCTTCCTCTCTTTCCTCTTCTTCTTCTTCCCCCCCCCTTCCTCCAAACCCCCCCCTCTACTTCCCCATACCTCCCCCCTCCTCTCTCCCCATCTTCCCCCCCCCCCCGCTCTCCCCACCTCCCCCCCCCAGCTCTCCCCTTCTTCCCCCCCCGCTTTCCCCTTCCTCCCCCCAACACCCCCTCCCTCTCTCCCTTCCCCTCCTCCCCCAACCTCCTCTCCTCTCCCCTCCATCCCCTCCCCCCCTCCGCTCTCCCCATTCCCCTTCCCCCCTCCCCCTCCCCCCCCCTGTTTGCTTTGAGGACTCCCCCGGCCCGACCAGCGCCCTGACCACCACCTGCCGCCCCGCAAAAAGGTCCTAAGCAGGAGCTCGCGCCCGGAGGGGAACGTGCCCCGCGGGCGAGCATCCAGGTGGAACGCTATCTGAAGGCACAGGGGGAGGAGGGGTAAGGAAGGGGAGGATGGAAAGAGGGGAGGAGGAAGGGGGAAGGGGGTAAGGAAGGGGGGTGAGGAGGAGGAAGAAGGAAAAAGAAGAAGAGGAGGAGGAGGAGAGGAGGAGAGGCGCAGCAGAAGGAAAAAATAAGACAAAAGAAAAGAGAGAAAGAAGAACGGAGGAAAGAAAGAAAAAAGAACACGAATTGGCACAGAGACAAGCCAGACAGACAGACAGACAGACAGACAGACATCGCGGGGGATCGCCAGCCCTTCGCCAGAACCCGTCCAGAGGCATTTCTCATCCAGGCAAAAAGACAAAAGATCCTTGAGAAATGTGAAGACGAAGAAGCGAGTCCCGGGGCGCGCCTGCCATGGCCACAACGCCCTCGAGTCGATGGGTCGAGGGACAGGGCCAGGGCCCAGAGAGAAGCCAGAGGGGCCAAGGAGAGGGCCAGGGAGAGGGCCAGAGAGAGGGCCAAGGAGAAGGCCAGAGAGAGGGTCAGAGAGAAGGCCAAAGAGAGGGTCTGAGAGAAAGTTAGCGAGAGGGCCAATAAATAAAATAATAACTAACTAAAAACGTGAATGAAAAATAAGTGAATAAATACATACAATGAAGATAAATGAGTAAACATGATAACAATAAATAAAAAAAAAACATAACAAAAATACAACTCGGCCCCATCGAGTCCGACGCCTCAAAATCCTTCGTCAGTCACCCCGACACCTCCGACGCAGCCGCACGCCCGAGGTCTGTGTCGCATCTCGTGTCAATGCTGAATCACGGGCACTTCTGCAGCTCGGGATTTGGGCGCCCGGGGTGTTGCAGTTCCTTTTTGCCTCCTCTCCCTCTCTCTTTCTCTTTCTCTCTCTCCCTCTCTCTTTTCTTTTTTTTTTCTCCTCTCTCTCTCTCTCCCTCTCTCTCTTTCTCTTGCTATCTTCTCTCTCTCTTTTTCTCCCTCTCCCTCTCCCTTCTCTTCTCTCTCTCTCTCTTCCTCTCATTCCCCGGCTTGACATTCAACTGCCTTTCGAGATGCTGATCTAGTAGCCGGTCCAGAGAGAGAAACGAAGGAAATAAAAAGAAGATATTTTTTTGGCAGATAAATAGGGAGATTCGTTCTTTTGCTTGTTGTCTGTCTGTTTTTTTTTTTTTTCTCTTCTAATCTCTCTTCTCTCTCTTCCCTCCCTTCTCTCCCTATCTCTCCTTCTTCCTCTCTCCTCTCCCTCCCTCTCTCATTTCTTCCCATTCCTCCTTGTCTCCTTCCTCCCTCTCTCCTTCCCTCTTTCCCCTCTCCTTCTCTCCTTCCCCCTCTCATTTCCCTCCTCCCCCTTCTCCCCTCTCTTCCCCCTCCATAATTCCCGTCCCCAATCTCCCCGCTTCGGTCGAGTGGCTTCCACGTCGCACCTCTCGTTTCCCGCCATCGCCTCGTCTCTCTTCCGAACTCCTCTTTCTCACGTCCTCCGTCCAGTGTCTCAAGGTAAGCTCCCGACAGGTCCTGGATCACCGCGGGCGAGTCTGCCTAAGTGTCTGCTTGCCACCACGCCCACTCACGCCCGTCTTCGCCTCCTCTCTGTCTCTCTCTCTCTCTCTCTGTCTCTCTCTCTCTTCTCTTCTCTCTCTCTCTCTCTCTCGGGCTCTCTCCTCTCTCTCGCTCTCGTCTCTCTCTCTCTTCTCTCAGTTTCTCTCTCTCTCTTCCCTTTCTCCCCTCTTCTCTCTCCCTCCCCCCTTCCTCTCCCGGCTTGACTTCGACTGCCTCGCCCCCTCTAAAGCAATGCCCATGTGAAAGAAACTGGAGACGAGACGAAAAGAAAAAAAATATGCCCAAGAAAAACATTTTAGCGATCACGACAGCAAGGAGAACCATAGGCCTACCTCAGTGTTGTCTCCGTATTTTCACCGTCGGAATATTAGTATCACATCACCTTCACCTATAGGCCTATCCACACCAACAGGCCTTTCCTCACGCGCACTTGACCAGGAATTCCTCGCTAAAAAGCCTGTCCTCATCAAGCACTGCTCATTAAAAGCTCTATCCTCACGCGCACTTTACCAGGGACTCCTCAGTAAAAAGAAGAAAATAAGAAGAAGGAGAGAAAGTAGTAGTAGAAGAGGAAAAAGAAAAAGAAGAAAACTATCCTCGCCAAGCACTCCTCACTAACACGCCTATCCTCGCCAATCACCCGCCTCAACCTCTTTTTCCTTTATATTTTTTTTTTGAAAACGTCTCTGAATAACAAAAAGCCTCCCCCTCCCCCCCCCTCAAGGTCCACACGTGCCCTCCACCTCCCTGAACACGTCGGGAACACGCTCCGGAGTCACGATTGGCAGGGGATCTAAGCCACGCCCCCCTCTCGCCCCGCCCCCAACCCCTACACCTCCGCCAAACCTTGGGCGTCCGCTACGTAACCTTCGCCGCCGATGACACTCGCCTCCGCCCAAGCCTGTGCCTCCGAAGCCGACGCGGGCGAGGAGTGTCCCAGGGCGGCGCGGGCAGCGAAGGCGCCGTGTTCGTGATATCCGTGGTGTCAGCGCCTTCCTCGGCTGACCTCGCTGACTTCGCACCCACTCCTCTCACCCCCCTGCCTGCCTCCTCCTCCCTCCTCCATCCTCCTCCTCCTGCTCCTCCTCGCTCCTCCCCTCCTGCCTCCTCCTCTCCTCCTCGCCGCGGCGCGCATCATAGGACTCTCGGTCCGGCTGCAACAGGCCTCCTGGGATTCCTCCTCCTCCTCCCCCTCCTCCCTTTCTTCCCTTTCCTACTTCTTCGCCTCTTTTCATTCCCCGCTTTTCTCTTCCTCCCTTCCTTTCTTATTTTTTTCGTTTCCTCAATTTTTTTTTCCATTTTCTCCTTCTCGAGCTCTCTTTCTCTTTTTCACCGCGTCCTTTCTTGCTCTCCTTCCCCCAACTTCTTTCCCATCCCTCTCCCTCCTCTTCCTCCTTCACCACCACCACCTCACTACTCCTCCCCTTCCTTCTTCTCTTCTCTTCTTCCTCACCCTCCTCCTCCTCCTTCCTTCCTCACCTCCTCCTCCGAGTACTACAAAACCTTCCCTCCCGTCCTCGTCCCTCACGCCCACCGCAGCCTCCAGGGCAGCTCGACCCGGGGATTTAAACCTCCTCCCCCCCCCCCCGCCCCCCCTGCCCCCTCCTCCCATCTCCGCGGATCGGCACGCACGCCCCCAAGACGCCCTCGTACCGAACGCCCGTCTTCCGTGCGCCCGTGGCCGCCGCAGGACGAGGCAGGACCCCCCTCGCGACGCCGCCCCGAATGGAGGTCCAGGCTCTCGCCATGGCCCTTCCTCCATCATCTCAGGGGGCTCCCTTATTCCTCGCGCGCTTTTTCCCGCCCTTCGTGTCTCCCACAGCAACAGGAGGAAAATCGAGCTGGCCGGGGGTAGGGGGTAGGGAGAATTGGGGAGAGAGAGAGAGAGGGAGCTCAGCTGCAGACAATGCCCTTATCATGCACGCTGCCGGGGCCACATTCGCCATGACCAAACCGTGCCCGCTAGCCACCAACCTGCCGCTGCACTTGGGGTGGGGGGCGCGCGGGGGGGGGGGGGGGTCAGGTCGTCCCTCGAGTCCTTGGCGGGAGGCAGTCGCGCCTCCACCTCGGACTTCATCACGTGGGAGGCGGTTGACGACGCAGGGCGAGGCAGGTCGCCCTCCAGGCCCTTTTTAGCCTTAGCCCATCCCTTCCCTTCCTACTTCTCCTCCTCTTCCGTCCCTTCCCTATTACCTCCTCCTCCTTCCTCACCTTCCATTGCCTCCCTTTCCTATCCCTTCCTATTTCACGCTCGCTATCTCCTTCTGCCATCTCTTTACCTTTATGCCTTCACCTGCTCCTGCCTTCCATTTCCTCCTCCTCTTCTTTTTTCGCTGCCTTTTTTAAACTTCCTTCCTCCTGCGCTTCTCTTACTTTTTCGTTCTGGCTGATCTTTTCCTTGCCTGTCGCTTCTCCTCATTTCCTATTGCTTTCTTGCTTCTTTTCCTTCCTTCCTTCCTCCTCTCCATCTTTTTCTTCTGTTTTACTTTTTCCCTTGGCCTTCCTCCTGCCTATTCCATACCACTTCACTTCTCGTCTATCTAGACGCTCACCCTTCCCCCCTCTATCTCATGGTTTTTACTTTCGCGCCTCTTCCATCTTCCTTCCCCTAAGGCCGCTCCTGCCCTTTCCTCTCCCCCACTACTTTACACTTCCTGCCTCCCTCCACTTTTTCCTCCAACCTCCACCGTCTTTTCGCGCACTTAAACCTCTCCTTTCCTCTCCACCAATACTTCCACTTCTCCACCTTTTCCTCCTCCTTCCTTCCCCTAAACGGGCTCATCCCTTTATCCTCTCCAGCCACGTAACTTCACTTGCCCTCCTGCCTCCCACCGTCCAACCTCCGTTGCCGCCCTAAACTTCTTCCTTGCCTCTCACCGCCCCTAACTCTCCATTCCATTTTCTTCCACCGTTTCCGCCTCCACGCTCCACCTCCTTCGCCACACCGCGGTCCCCCTCTCGATAGGACCTCCATGGGGGGTTATCTGCGCCATCCGGTAGGAGTCACGGGCGGGGGGGAGGGGGTTAATGACAGGGCGATCTCTCTCTCTTCTTTGCTCTCTCTCTCTCCCTCTCTCTTTCCCTCTCTCCTCTCGCAGCCGTTTCCCATTCTCTTTTTCCCCCATCTCTCTCTGTCTAATCTACCTTCCTTCCTCACTCCCTCTCCCTCTCTCTTCTTTCCCTCTACCCTCCCTTCCCCTCCCTCTACCCTCATTCTCTCTCTCTCCTTCTCTCTCTCTCTCTCTCTCTCTCTCATCTTCTCTCTCTCTCTCTCTCTGCTCTCTCCCTCTCCTCTCTCTCTCTTCTCTCTCTCTCTCTCTCTCTCTCTCTCTCTCTCTCTCTCTCTCTCTCTCCCTCTCTACCCATCCTCTCTCCTCTCTTCTCTCTCTCTCCCCTCTCTAATCCTCTCTTCTCTCTCTCTCTCTCTCTCTCTCCTCTCTCTCTCTCTCTCCTCTTCTACCCATCCCTCTCTCTCTCCTCTCCCTCTCCCTTCTCTTTTCCTCTACCCATCCCTCTCTCTCTCTCATCTCCCTCTACCCTCCCTATACTCTCCCTCTAAGCCTCCCTCCCTTCTCCCTCTCCCTTATCGCTCGCCAGACAATCGCGCGACGAATTAGCGCGAGAGAAATTGCAAATCACTGTCCGTCTGACTTTTGGTTCGCGAGCCGATCCGCCTGCGAGAGAGAATGCCTTGTCTGGCGAGGATTATTCCCATTAATTCGCTATCATTAATACTCTAATTATTATTACCAACTTTCACATCACTTTTTTAGAAATTCCTTATCATTAGTATTGTATTTATTGCTTTTAATTCCCTCGCTATCATTAATACTGTGATTATTATTATTCACTTTCACATCACTTTTTATAATTTCCTTATCATTAGGATTGTACTTGTTATTGCTTTTAATTCCCTCGTTATCATTAATACTCTAATTATTATTACTAACTTTCATATCACTTGTTTAGAAATTCATTATCATTAGTATTGTACTTGTTATTGCTTTTAATTCCCTCGTTATCATTAATACTCTAATTATTATTACTAACTTTCATATCACTTTTTTTAAATTCATTATCTTTAGTATGTACTTGTATTACTTTTAATTCCCTCGTTATCATTAATACTCTAATTATTATTACTAACTTTCACATCACTTTTTATACATTCCTTATCATTAGTATTGTATTTATTACTTTTAATTCCCTCGTTATCATTAATACTGTGATTATTATTATTACTAACTTTAATCAACATCACTTTTTTACTAATTCATTATCATTAGTATTGTACTTGTTACTACTAATGACCCCTTCGTTATCATTAATAAAGTAAATATTACTAATCACTTTATTATTGTTTTTGTATTCATGTTACTAATGCTGGTTTCGTTATCATTAACACTACAACTGTTATTACTACGGACACAATCATTATTATTGTTGTTCTAGACAGGTTATTAACGTCACCTTCGTCATCATTAACGTTGAGGTTATTATCATCATTAATTTCTTTTTTTGTTGTTGTATTCTTCTTAATGATCCTCTCTTGTTATGAACGCAAATTTGGTGATGAAGAAAAAATCATGTCCATCGCTAACTTAATTAATAATAATAATGATGATTATAATGATGATGATAATGATAATATGATAATTGAATGAATATAATAATAATGATAATAATAAAAATGACAACAATAATAATAATAATAATAATAATAATAATAATAATAATAATAATGATAATAATTAATGAAAATAATAATAATAATAATAATAAATAATAATATAATAATAATGATAATAATAAAATAATAATAATAATAATAATAATATAATAATAATGATAATAATAAAATGACAACAATAATGATATAATAATAATAATAATAATAATAATAATAATAATTTTAATAATAAAATGACAACAATAATGATGATAATAATAATAATAAAATGATAATGATGACAACGATAATAATAATAACAATGACAATAATAACAATAATAAAATATGAATAACAAAAATAATAATAATAAGAATAACAAATCATAATAATAATGAATAACAACAATCAACAAATCATAATTATAATTATAGTAACAATAATAATAATAACAATAACAACAGATAATTTGATAACCACTCCCTCTCCCCCCACCCCCCACCCCACCCCCTATGACAGCACCTCCAGCGACTTCCTCATCCCGCCCTCATTTATCCTCCTCACAACCTACTGCATATCCTTATCCTGCCTAATCCACACTGACATTTCCTCATTAAACTTCTCCTCTCCTTCACACTCCTCTCCCCCCCCTCTTCCCTCCTCCCCTCCTCCCCCCCCCCTAAACACACTCCCTTTCCAACTCCACTTTACTTACCCCCCTCCTCCTCCTCCCCTCCCTCCCCTTCCACCCCTCCCTCCCCTCTCCCCTCCCCCTGTCTTCTCCCCTCCCTCCCTCTCACCTCCCCCCTGTCTTCTCCCCTCCCTCCCCTCTCCGCTCCTCCCCTCCCTCCCCTCCCCTCCCCTCTTGATCCATCACCTTACATCTACGATCATTCAACCTCCCTACCTACTTGATATTCCATCTCGCCCCCACCCCTTCGTCCCTCTCCCTCCCTCCCCCTCCCTTCCCTCTCCCTCCCCTCTCCCCGCGACCCACATCCCTCCCTCCTCTTCCTCCCTCTCCCCCGTGACCCACACACCCACCTCCCTCCCTCCTCTCCCTTTTCTCTCCATCTCCCTTCTTTCTCCCTCTCCCCGTGACCCACATCCCTCCCCCTCCCTCTCCCTCTCCCTCTCGGGTATGTAGGAGAGGGAGGGAGACAAGAATGGAGGGAGGACGCAGGAGGATGGGGACGCAATGGGGGGGGGAGGAGGGACGAGGGAGGGAGGGAGGGAGGACGCGAGGGAGGGAGGAGGAGGGCGCTATGGAGGGAGGGAGGGAGGGAGGAGGAGGGAGGAGGGACGCTATGGAAAGGAGGGAGGGAGGGAGGGGAGGGAGGGAGGGAGGGAGGGAGGGAGGGACGCAAGGAGGAGGGAGGAGGGACGCAATGGAGGGAGGGACGTATTTGAGTGATGGAAGCGAGATGGAATACAAATGGCCGCTCGCCCCTCCCTCCCTCGGCCGATCTGGAGGGAATCCATCACCTCCTTCCATCGCCTTTATCGACTCCCTCCCTCTTCCCTCCGCCGCCTTCGTCCGGCCTTTGGCACCCTCCGCCGCCCGCCGCGCCATCTATCGGAGCTATCGACACCAGTTTTCCGTTCGGGTACGTGCGTGTTCGGCGGGAGGGAAGACCAGTGAGAGGAGAGGGAGAGGAGAGGAGGAGGAGGAGGAGAGGAGAGGAGGAGGAGAAATTGAAGGAGAGTGGAGGAGAGGAGGAGGTGGAGGAGAAAGAAGAGAGAGTGGAGGAAAGAGGAGGAGGAGGAGGAGGAGGAAAGGAGGAGGAGGAGGAGGAGGAAAGAAGGAGGAGGAGGAGAGAAATTGAAGGAGGAGGAGGAGGAGAAAGAGGAGGAGGAGAGGAGGAGAGAAGGGGAGGAGAGGAGGAGGAGGGGGAGAAAGAGGAGGAGGAGAGGAGGGAGGAGAGAGAAGAGGAGAGGAGAGGAGGAGGAGGAGGAGGAGGAGGAGGAGAAAGAGAAGAAGGAGGGGGAGGAGAGAAAGTGAAGGAGGAGGAGGAGGAAAAGTGGAGGAGAGGAGGAGAGAGGAGTGGAGAAGAAATTGAAGAGAGGAGGAGGAGGAGGAAGAAGGTAAGGAGGAGAGGAGAAATTGAAAGGAGGAGGAGAAGAAATGAGGAGGAGAAAGTGGAGGAGGAGGAGGAGGAAAGAAGAAGTGAGGAGAGAAAGTGAAGGAGGAGAGAGGAGAAAAGGAAAGAGGAGGAGGAGAAATTGAAGGAGGAGGTGGAGAAGAAATGAAGGAGGAGGAGGAGAGAGAAAGTGAAGGAGGAGAAGGTGGAGAGGAAGAAAGAGAAGGAGGAGGAGGAGAGAAATTGAAGGAGGAGGTGGAGAAGAATGAAGGAGGAGGAGAGGAGAAAGTGAAGGAGGAGAAGGAGGAGAAGGAGGAGAGGAGGAGTGAAGGAAGGAGAGTGGAGGAAGAAATTGAAGGAGGAGGAGGAGAGGAAGGAGGAGAGGAGGAGGAGGAGGAGGAGGGAGGGAGAGAGGAGGAGGAGAGGAGGAGAAAGAGGAAGGAAGGAGAAGGTGGAGAAAGAGAAGGAAGGAGGAGAAACTGAGGAGGAGGAGGAGGAGAAGAAATTGAAGGAGGAGGAGGAGGAAGAGGGGAGGAGGAGGAGGAGAGAGAGGGAGGAGAGGTACACACACATACACACCACACATATATAATATATATATATGCATACCTATTCCACACATTCACACATTACCAAAAAAAAAAAAAAAAAAAAAAAGTACCCACAACCCCGATACCCAATCACAACCTCATCCTTAAACCACGCACCGATACCCTCCCCCCTCACCCCCTTTTTCTTGCACCTAGTTCCCTGCATTCCCCTTAATAACTGCATGACACAGCTCTTCATGACACAGCTCTGCATGACACAGCTCTGCATGACACAGCTCTGCATGACACAGCTCTGACTGCGCCTGACAAAACCTGCCATGTCTAATCGAGATTATTTTTTTAAGTATCATTCTTATCAATGTGCTGATAATTACGATAGAAATGGCATTAGTAAGAACGATAATCAAAATACTGAAAGAAATAATACTTTTATAATTAGCATCGTTATTACCAGTATTCCACTTAATATATCTATTTCTATATATACTTTACATACATCATTAACAACAATCATCCTCATAATAAAGGAATTATGATAATTTTCATCCTTAATCCCATTATTAATCTTTTTTTTTACATATATATCATTTGCATGACTTGCCAACGGGGCCACAAAACCCGTTTTCTATGAATCGCTTATCCACGTTTTCTTTCGTTGCGCCTCGATACTTCGTAGGACAGACTTAAATAATATCAATGATAATGAGTTTCACTAAAACCTTCACTTAACAATATTAATGATGATAATAATTTTCACTACAAACTCCAATATCAATTTATTAGTAGTGATAGTGACAGTGAAGTAAAAAATAAAATAACATAAATAAAAAAAACATGGAATCGTATTTGCTGAAGTATTTTTTGTTTTTTTTTCTTAAAACATCCCTTCCTAGGGTGCATGCAGCAAAAAAATGAAGAAAAAACAACAATAACAATAACCATAATAACAATAGCTACAAATACAATAATAATAATAAATAATAATAATAATAATAATAATATAACAGCAATAAATACAATAATAATAATAATAATAATAATAATAATAATAACAGCAATAATATAATAATATTAACAACAACAACAACAACAACAATAATAATAATAATAATAATAACAAACAACAATAATAACAATAATAACAACAATAATAATAACAAACAACCCCGACTCATAACAACAAGAATCCCTCCGACGACACCACCAAAACAATAACAAGAACAACCATGTCCGATAACGCCCCGCTCCCTCTCGCCCCGCCTCCCCCCCCCGCCCCCTCCACACAACCACCTTGAGAACCACCTGTCGGCCGGCTTCCTCCGCCGCTCGCGCACGACCACCACCTGTTCCCGCGGGCGCCGACCACCACCTGCGTCGGCAGCCTCTCCTCCTTCGCTGTCGGGGCGGAGGAGGAGGGGGTGGAGGAGGAGGAGGTGGGAGGAGGGAGGAGGAGGAGAGGAGGGAGGAGGAGGAGGAGAGGAGGAGGAGTGGGAGGAGAGGAGGAGAGGAGGAGGAGGAGGAGGAGGAGGAGAGGGGGTTGAGGAGAGAAGGAGGAGGAGGAGGGAGAGGAGGAGGAGGGGAGAGAGGAGAGAGGAGAGAGAGAGAGGAGGAGAGGAATGAGAGAAGGAAAGAGCGAAGAACGTAGAGAGAGAGAGAGAGAGAGGGAGAGAGAAGGAGAAGAGAGAGAGAGAGAGAGAGAGAGAGGAGAGAGAGAGAGAGAGAGAGAGAGAGAGAGAGAAAGAGAAATAAGAGAAGAGAAGAGTGAGATAGAGAAAGAAAGCGAGATGAAGAGAGAACCGTAGACACACACAGACAGACAGAGAGCAAGAGAGACCCAAGCCGCGAGAAACCCTCCTCCCGGCGCCGCAGTTTCCACAATACGGGCAGCGCATCGACGTCCCCCCCCCTCCCTCCACCCCCACCACCCCCTCCACCCCTTCCACCCCTCCATCGACGTCCCCCTCCCCCCGTCCCGCCCCTCCAGCCCCTCCACCCCTCCAGCCCCTCCACCCCCTCCCCCCGTCCCGCCCCGCTGACAAATTCCGGACTCGTGTCTCGGCGGAGCAACCTTGACAATGACACACTTAGCAACCGGACGGCGCGCCTCGGACCGACCCGGGCAGGCGTCTCCGCTCCCCAGGCCTAGTTGCTGCCTGCCCTCTCGGCTGGAGGGAGGGAGGGAGGGAGGGGAGGGAAGGCGAGGCGCGGGCGGGCGGGCGGGCGGTCTGTGTCTCTTATCTCTTTGTATCTGTCTGTCTCTCTTTCTCTCTCCCTCTCTCTCTTCCCTCGCCTCACTCTCACTCTCCCCTTCTCCTCCCTCCTTCCCTCTCTCTCTCCTTTCTTCTCTATCTTTCTCTCCCTGTCCCTTCCCTCCCCTTCCTCTTCTCCCTCTCTTTCTCATCTCCTCATCTCCTCACTCCTCATCCTCCTCTCCTTCCTTCCTTCTCTCCCAATTCCTCCTCTGTCTCTGCCTCAAGAGCTGCACCTTATTAACAAACAATAGAAACGTTGGAAAACACCACCCTCCTCTCCACTCACCCCTCCCCCCCCCCCCCGTACCTTCCTACCCAACCTGCTCTCATGACCCCATTGCCTGATTCCAAGCCATTCTATAATTGCCCGACACTCACCCACCAGGTGCGATGCTGCCAACTCGAAGTTACTTCTTAACTACTCCAATATGTAATGTCCAACAGATCCGCTTCTCCCTTCTGGTCCTCTCTAAGCTTTTTCCTGGAAGTCATGATCGTTTGTCTTCCTCTCTCGAGAATCCTCCGCTTTGATAAGACTAATGTCTTCAAGATTACAGTTCACGAGATTCTCTCTGCACACACTCACACACGTCTTCTCACTTTCTTCCTTTCCTCCGCTCCCTTCTCTCTCTCTCTCTCATTCTCTTCCTCTCTCTTTCTCTTCTCTCTCTCACCCTCTTTCTTTTCTCTGTTCTCATCTACCCTCTCTTCTCTCTCTCTCTTCACACCACACACAACACACAACCACACACACACACACACACACCACACACCAGACACAGACTCACTGACACTATAACATACATATATAATAATGTATGTATGCATGTAATATATGTATCTATTTAAACAACACACACACACACACACTTCTCCCTTCCTTCCTCCCCTCCTCCTCCTCCTCCCCGCCCGCTCCGCCAGGTCCGCTGATGAAACCCTTGCGAAAGTGTTTATCTCGCCTTTAATCTTAAGTAAATGATTCTGTCGCTTTTGTAATCTACAATCGTGACGGGAGGTATGGCTAAGGGCGGTGGGGGGAGGGGGAGGGGGCGGTTGAGGGAGGGAGAGTGGAATGTAGGGAGATGTTGGGGTGGTGGTGGGGTGGGGTGAGGGGGGAGGGGAGGGAGGGAGAAGTAAGGAGAAGGGGAGGGAAGGGGAGAAGGGAGGGAAGTGCAAGGGAGGGAAGAAAAGAAAAGGGGAAGAGAGGGAAGGGGCCGTAAGAGAGGGCAAAGGAAGGAGAGAGGTAAGGGAGGGAAAGAAGGAAGGGGAACTTAGAGGAGGGGAGAAACAGAAATAAACAGAAACATTTAATAATGAGAGAAGTCGACCTCTAAAATCCCTATCGTAAGTAGTCTTGCAAACGACTACGAAGCAACTGTAGAATAAAAGAGAAGAACAGATAACAAGAGGAAGCTCAACCACGCAGAGAAAGGACGAAACGGACGGCGGATGGAAGCCCCGAGAAGCGAGGGCGGTCAGATGGGCGTCGGCGGGGATTTGCGGGCGCCGGGGGTCAAACGGGCGCCTCCTTTTTCTCCTTCTCTTTCTCCTTCTCCCTCTTCTCTTTTCTTCTTCTTCTCTCTTCTTCCTTTTCTTTTTCTTTTTTTTGCAACATGTGGGGATAATTCGAGTTTCGTGTCAGTTTTTGGGCTCCTTCTAGCTCGCTCGGCCGAAGCGGAGCCGAGGCGCGGACCGAGGAGGGCCCCACGGCGGTCTTGGCCCTCTTGGCCCGCTCTCACTTCATTCCCTTCTCGCCTTCGTTCTCGAGTATTTCGAGATCTCACGGCTCTCTCTCTCCCTCCCTCTCTCTTTCTATCTCTCTCTCTCTCTCTCTCTCTCCTCTGAGTCTTCGTCCCTGCCCCTGCCCTCACCCCCGCCCGAGTGCCAGAGGCCTCCCCCCCCTCCCTCCCCAGAGTGGCCACGTCTAGCCCCTCCCCCTTCCCCGAGTGGCCTGCCACGTCCAGAACCACCCCTCCCCTCCTCCTCCCCGAGTGCCACGTCTAGCACCCTCCCCCTCCTCCTCCCCCTCCCCATAGTGCCACTTCTAGCACCCTCCCCCTCCCCCTCCCCCTTCCGAGTGCCACGTCCGAATCGATGCATTCACGACCGACTTCAACACCGGACACGATGCCAATACGTGCGTCACTGGCTTCGAGTTATTGCTTTATATATTCATGGTAATAGTGAGAGTGATGATGATGATGATGATTTTATGGTGATTGATGTGATGAAAATATGAGGATATGAGGATGATGATCCTGTGATGATGATGTGTCGGTGGCGGTGATAATGATTGATGATGATGATGGTGATTGATGAAAATGAGATGACAATATGATGATGTGATGACAATATGATGTGGTGATGGTGATGACAATATGATGTGGTGATGATGGTGATGGTGTTTGATGAAAATGAGATGACGTGATGGTGATAGTGATGAAAATATGATGATCGGAGGATGACCAAGACGACGACAAAATAGTAACAAAACTGCGGTTACTTCTAATCCCTCATAAAAAAAACTACTACCACTACTTCTATTACTACTAATAATAATAACAAAACAATTACACACCTTATCACTTTTAGAAATTCACGAAGTCGGCGATATCAAAACAAAGTTGTTCGAATTTAGACGCCATATACACCTAATAACTCGGGCGGAGATGTATGGGGCTTGTAAACTTTTTTTTTAACATCGCCGACTTCGTGAATCTCAAAAATTGATTGCGTGTGTAATTATTTTATTATTATTATCATTATTATTATAGTAGTAGTTAGTAGTAGTTAGTTGTTTGTTAGTAAGTAGTAGTGTAGTAGTAGTAGTAGAGTAGTAGTAGTAGTAGGTAGTAGTAGTAGTAGTAGTAAGTAGTAGTAGTAAGTAGTAGTAGAAGTAGTAGTAGTAGTAGTAGTAGAAGTAGTAGTAGTTGTAGTAGTAATAGTAAGTAGTAAAAGTAGTAGTATAGTAGTATAGTAGTAGTAGTTGTAGTTGTTGTAGTAATAGTAATAATAGTAATAATAGTAAGTAGTAGTTTTCGAGCGCCTCGCCAAACCCTCCGCAGAC